CAACACTGAGAATTAGATCACAAGGACCATGGTATAAAATCAGCAGTCCCTTTTTCCACCACCATTGCCCTTTTTGAGAGATGGGTCCTGGACTTAAAGTCTTTTACCTACAGCAAAGTGAGCCAGGTTAATGCACTTGCCTGCTAACCAAAATGTTAGAGGGTCAATCCTACCCAGCTGTACCTCAGAAGAAAGGTTTGGAGATCAACTTATTTAAAAAACAAGTCATTAAAAACCCTATTGAACACAGTTGTACTGGGACACATAATGGGGTTAGAATTGACTCAGTGAAAACTGATGGTGATGGTGGAAATGTGATCGAAAAGATAATGTGGAAACCAAGGGGAAGGCAGCCAGTCATCGACAGCAAAGACCCAGAAACACCAAGCTATAGAGCATTCAAGAATCAGGAGGCAAGACCAAAGTCAGCATGAACAGAACAAGGACTGGAGTCACTGCAAAGGCTTTGCCCTCCCCTTTGGTGAAATGTCTTCCAACTTTTTTCTCGGGTTGGAGTTTTAAGAAAACCGTCTAAGTGCATCCTGTTTCATTGGACTATTTCTTGTAATAACTTTCAATAATGAAAACATGTCTGCAGCGGCTGCATTTTCTGAGTTCATCTCCACCGTATTTTAGCAACCATGTGACTAAAACCCCCAACATCATTAAGGAATGTGCTTTCAGATGGTTGTTGAGATTTTCAGGTCTGTATCAGCTTCTGTGTTTCCCAAACATCCACGTCTTCTGAATTTGCCTCTTACCTGTGTGGCTCTCAGCCTCCCACATGGACCCAGAGTCAGTACATTGCCACAAGATTTGTTGAAACAAATCATGGTTGGTAATGTTGCTCCGAGTAAAGTTGTCTGACACCATATGCAGAGATGGCACATACTTGGCATGTGTGTTGCCACTTCTTCCTTAGCCTGGGGAACACACTACTAATCAGCCTTGACACTCTTGTCTGGAACAGCCAGATTCTGCCTCAGCATTTCTCACAATATAGTGTATCTGACAATAAGCAACAGATCAGACTTGTCCCATGAAACTAAACCGATTGGCCATTGCTGTGCTATCTCTAATTAATGAAACAATGTTGAAGTTTTCTAAGAAGCATGAATCTTAACAAATATGCTACCTTAAAGATAATATATTTCTTATACTAAATATTCTACAGAGAATAAACTTCTATATTCTAAAAACAATCTATATTTTTTAAACTTACACAACAATTTTGTTATTAGTTGTTATTTGCCATCATTTGTTGGCCTGGTGACCTGTGTATTACAAATTAAAATCGATTCTTCACTGTAATATTAACAGAAGTCTATTACCAGGCCTGTCAATCCACCAACCTTGATGTTAACTGTCAAGTACAAATCATTTGCATTTCTTATTTACCGAGCACATACCATGTGCATGATTATACAATGGCAAGAACACTTTATGTATAATATTTCAGCTAATCCTTTCAGTAGCATTGTAAGGAAAGTATGGCTATATCTCTTCTGTTCCAAGATGCCATTGATTGTAATAGCTCTGGAAAGTATTGAAGAAGGGAAATGGGAGGAAAAATTAACAATGGAAACATTGGCTGTAGCAGATGTATTAAAAGATATTTCTTGAAACTGATCAATTTTGATGATATTCCCACTGTTGCAGATGAGAAAATGGACGCATAGAGTAGTCAAGAACTTTACCCCAAGCCACAGAGTTAGTAGTCTGCAGAGCTGGACTTTGTAACCAGGTCTCTCTGGCTTTGTCCACAGTCACCAATATAGATAATACTGTCACTGGTGTAGGAGCCAAAATGTTATGCAGAAATATATCAAACTCACCTCTTTGTACATAAATGAAACTAACAATTCAAGGCAAAAGTAAAGGTGAGCCTGGCTGTAACCATCAAAAATACAAAGTGGTATCAGGACCTTGCTTGTGCATTCTCTTCCTTCTGTGAGCAAATCAAACAGTTTCAAAGCTATCAAAAGTGCTCTGTCCATCCAAAGACAACAAAAATGCATATATTGAGTAGACTCGCATCTCCTGAGACTGCAGCTCGGGTTTGCTTTTTCTTCTTTCATCTCCCTTCCCACAGGAAGTCCCTTCCCTTCCTTCGACACCTTGGACGTGAACATCATACCCGAGGACTGTAAAGACTGACCAGTTTGAATATAGAAAACCAAGAACCAATGGATTCTTCTTAAAGAACCAAATAGTCTATTATTTCAGAGGAGATCTGCTGATAATTATTAGGTTGCTGTTGGCAAGAATGAAAGATAAGCTAGTAGGAAAAAGGCTACTGCTTTATGTGCACACTGAGACTGCCCTCTGAATTGAGTATAGTACCGTAGTTGATTTCAGAAGGAAAATGGATCAAGCTTGAAAACATAACTTAACATGGATCCCACTGGTAAAACTAAAACATGGGAAACCGTGAAACATACAACCAGGAAAGGACAGTCAGCCGATGAGGTGGCAGTTATCCCAGCACTGCAAAGAACTCTTCACTATGAATCCATTGTCCTGGTGAAACAATTCCGACCACCAATGGGTGGCTACTACATAGAATTCCCTGCAGGTCTCATAGATAATAATGAAAGCCCAGAACATGAGGAAGAAACTGGTTATAAAGGCAACATTGCTGTATGTTCTCCAGTTATATGTGTGAATCCAGGTTTGTCAAATTGTACTATGCACACCATGACAGTAACCATTGATGGAGATGCTGCTGAAAATGTAAGACCTAAATCAAAGCCTGAGGATGGAGAATTTGTGGAAGTAATTTCCTTAGCAAAGAATGACCTGCTGAAGAGACTTGATGCTCTGGTAGATGAAGAACATCTTACAGCAGATGCCAGAGTCTACTTCTATGCTCTGGCATTGAAACATGCAAACACTAAGCCATTTGAAATCCCCTTCCTGAAATTTTAAGACCAAAAAGGACACCGTGTTTTCATAAATGAGACCATCAGGCCTTCTTCACTTTGTATTCAGTGTAATTTAATGCACATTTGAAATTGGCTCTTTCAAAAAATAAAAGCATCATAGAATGCATTACATGGAACTGTAATCACAGAGAGGCTGTCACCTTCATCTTAATTTGCTAAACTCCACCTAATGTTAGTGAAAAAGAACATCAAGTACATAGATTTCCTCTAAATTTAAAAACAAAAACCCACAGGTGTAACTCTATTAATGTAAGAAGCCCAAGATGCAAGGATATTTCTGTAGAAAAATAGGTATGAATTCCATAAGGTCACATTCACCCCCTGTCCCAGTATGAAGATAATTTTTGCTGCATTGATGTTTAAGTCCAACTTGTTTTCAATTTGAACAATTTGCTATGTACATTTCCACTGGATAGCAGAATATATCAAAGCAATAAATATGAATATTCTTGATCTTAAAAAAATGTTTATATTATGCAGCTATAGACAATGATAAGATCCCTGGGTGGCGCAGTTTGTGCTCGATCCTATCATGAAGTTGGCGGTTCAAACCCGTGTAGTAGCACCACAGAAGAAAAGCCTGGTAATCTGCTTTCATAAAGGTTACAGCCAAGAAAACCCTATGGAGCACAGTTCTGCTCTGTAGCACATGGAATCACCGTGAGTCCAAACCAATTCAATGGTCATGGGTATAGGGTATAGCTGGTGTTGTTGTTAAGTGCTGTCGAGTCAGTTCCACCCATAGCAACCCTGTATAGGGTTTCCGAGGAGCAGCTGGTGAGCCTGAACCACTGACCTTGCAGTTCAAACTGACTTTGCAGTCCAGCGCATTGACCCACAGAACCACACCAGGACTCCATTGGGTATAGCCATGGTGGTGGTTATATACCGTGGACTTGGTTCTGAATCATAGCGACTCTGTATAGGGTTTCTAAGGCTGTGAATCTTTACAGGAGCAGAAAGCCTTATCTTTCTCCTGCAGAATGACTGGTAGTGTTGAACTGCTGACCTTGAGGTTCACAGCCTGATTAATAACCACTACGCTATGAGAGCTCCTTAGGGTATAGGTAGTGATGGTTAAAAATCTATATATTCTTATTTGGAAAAATTTAGAAAACACTGCTGAAAGAAAAAAAAATCAGATATAAAATTGTACAAAATAGTTTGATTTCTACCTTGTAGGGAAAAAATCTAAAGAAAACAGCTTAAAAATGGTAAGAAAGATTGATAGGAAATTCAATATACAGTCATTATGTTTGATGACTGGTTTTCATTCTTTTTACCTTTCCATTTTCCAATGTTTTTATTTTTATATGAAATAAGCTAAAAATTAATAATAACAATAATAAATTAGAAAGAAACTGAGCCTAGAAGCAGTGAATGATTTGCCTGAGGTCAGCAAATCCAGTTAGGGCAAGGTAATAAGCAAAAGTATTCTTCCAGAAATGCAGGCGAGGCTATGATCACAATGCCTCCCTAAGACCCAGACATATCAAATCAACATCATTTCTCTCTTCACCACGAATTCAGCAATCTTTCATAAAATCAAAAAGACCAAAGCAAGATACTCCAAAAAGCACCCTGTACAATTGATAGAGGATGGATCTTTTGTGATAATGCCATCTTGATAGTTTTCCTTTAAAACTTGGGTCGTGTTAAAAGGGGAACCAGAGGAGGGGAGGCAAGCCCAATCATGAAAAAACACATTTGTCAAATGTTGATAGAAACCTGTGGCTTCTCTCAGACTTTTGTCAGATGAATAAATTTCAAAGAGAAGTAGCATATTTCCTTTCTCTTCTTTCAGTTTGCAGTCCTTAAAAATGCATAAAATGTTCACATTGTCTAGCGTAATTTCTTTAAAAAAGGCTTCTTGGCTATTTTTTAAAAATGTGAATCTAAAAGGTTTTTTTTTTTTTTTTTTTAGTTTCTCCTAGTTACTCATTATTCTGCTTTTATTCTCCAGCCTCGCTTCCTATCTTCAGTTGCTTTTCCTTGGTATAGATTTTCTTTTGATATTATGCAGCCTGTAACCTGACTTTCCGCTCTGAGTTATTTCAATTACTCCCCAAGGTTTTTATTAGATATAGGGAAAGTCAGCTTTCTACATTTTGCATATTTATGGATACACTTACTTTTTCAGAGAGGAGGAGGAGGAGAATGAGAGGAAAGAGGTGAATGGAATACATAAGTGTTTCTTAAAAACGGTGTAGTAAGAATTAAAGAAATAGTTCCTATTTTCACCTTGGTGTTTGTGATAAAGAGTACAAATTTTTCTATTGATACCTCCATGATTTAGTCATTTCTAGGGATGAGTCTTGGTGTGGCGCTGTGGGCTAATGCATCAGACAGCAAAATCGTTTGAACTGCAAGGTCGGTGGTTCAAGCTCACCAGCTGCTCCTTGGAAACCCTATACAGGGTCACTATAGGTTGGAATCGACTCAATGACACTTAATAAAAACAACAGGGATTGTGTGGAGTCCTGGTGTGGCACTGGAGGATAAGCACTAGACAGCTAACTAAGAGGTTGGTGTTTTAAACCCACCAGTTGATTCTTGGAAACCCTATACTGGGTCACTATGAGTCATAAGTGACTCAACAGCACTTAATACCAACCACAGGGATTGTGTGGCGCTGTTGGATGTGCACTAGACTGGTAACCAATTGGTAGACTGTTCAAACCCAGCAGCTCCTCCTCAAAAGCCCTAGCTATATAGGTTTGCTAAGAGTCGGAAATGACTTGACGTCACTTAACAACAACAACAGCAGCAGCGATTGGAAGGATCCCCTGAATGGCACAAGTGGTTAATTGCTAGATGTGACCTTACCTAGAGGTATTGCCTATGAAAGTCCCAACAACCTATTCCCAAAACAACTCATTGAAAACCTTATGGAGAACAGCTCTCTGACACAAACGGGTTCTCTATAACTCAGAAACAGCTCCGCAACAACTGCTTTGGTTTTAGGTTTTTGGAAAGGGGCACTCACTAATGGTTCAGTAGCAGAATTCTCCCTTCCTATGTGGAAAACATAGACTTGATTCAGTGAGCAGCTACTGAAAATCAGCTAATGAAAGCCCTATGGATCCAACCAGCAACCAATTGTGGAGATGGCACTGGGCCAGGCCCATTGTACATGGAGCTCCCAAGTTGAAAACAGCTGCTAACAGCAACAGTAAACAAAATAAGGATTTATATATAAAGCATTTTGAAATATAAAATGTAGATATCATCTTAATTCATAAAATAAGGGGGTTAGGAACTTTATGGCTCTAGTTAAGTATGCTTTACAATTATCAAAGGTTTGCAATGGTTTTGATAGCTCCGGACAAGCCAAAATGGCCTAGACTAGGAGGACAACCAGATCATTGAAGGGAAAAGCATCAAACACTGTGTTGTCTGGCTCCTTCCAGACATCCTCTTACTTCTCAAAGATAGAGCTGTCCAGAAAACAAATAGTAGAGGCTCTTCTCTTTTGTTGCCTCATAAAATCTTTTCCTTGGAGTAGAGTAGTTTTGAATTAGTCCCTGGAATTGATTTGGGACTTGGACATACCATTTCATTTCTCTAGCCTGGCTCCACCTCTGTAAAATGGGGATTGTGGGTTGATGAGAAGAATTGTCAATGGTGGCCCTAGGAGTTCATTCTGAGTTGCCTGGACAAAAAGTCAACTTGAGTGCCTCATCTTCACCCCCTTCACCCTGCACCCAAACTCAGTGGGATGATGGCAGGTGGGGATGCCTACCTTCGCATCTTTTGTAAACCCAACCTTGTAAATTTTCCCTTTCTCCATTAAAGCCAATTCCTTCAACAGTGCCACATTACATTGTATAATTCATCACAAAACCTGACACATAGTGGATGCAGATGACGCCCAGCTTGCACAAGGAGCAATAGCAGAACAGACCTGAACTTCTCTGGACTGTTGTAAGGTTGAACAAGAAAAATGCAATGACTCCTAGATTTCCACCATCAAAGTACCACCAAACTGTTGCCAACACTATCTACCACTTTTGTATCGTTGGTATTTTTAAACATCAGCATTTTTAAAATGTTGTTGCTGTTAGATGATGTGAAGTCGACTCCAGTTCATGGCAGCATATGTGCAACAGAATGAAACATCGCCCTTTCCTGCATCATCCTCATCCTCGTGTTCCATCATCACAGCTACCATGTCAGTCCAACTCCCCAATGGTCTCCCTCACCCTCTACGGCCCTCTACTACTCCCTCCCAGCGATTGGTCTTTCCCAATGACGTGTCCAAGTCATGAGAATTGGGCAACATTCTGTTGTGATCCATAAGGTTGGCAGAGAGAAAGACAATTCATTCCAAACTAGAAAAACCTCATTGGGGAGCTGCCAAGTTTGCACTGTGTAAACCCATTGGAGGCCCCTCTGCATGCTGCACACCACAGTTGTTGTTGTTGTTAAGTGCCTTAGAGTCAGTTCTGACCCATAGTGACTCTGTATAGGGTTTCCAAGGAGCAGCTGGTGAGCTTGAACCACCGATCTTTCAGTTCAAATGGCTTTACAGTGTGATGCATTAGCCCACAGCACCACACCAGGACTCCACAGTAATGGAGAGAAATAGAATCATTTTCAGAAGTAGATTGCCACCCTTTCTTCCTAGTATGATTTTGTTTAGAAGCTTCTCTGAAACTGTCCACCATAGGGGACCCTGCTGGTATTTGCTGTATTGTTGGTGTAGCTTCCAGCGTCATAGCAACATGCAAGCTGCCAAAGTTTGTCATACTGATAGATAGCTGTTGACTTCAAATAGAAATAAATTTTATAAGGGAAAAAAAAAGTCAATTTGAAAGAACAAAATAAATTTAAATTATAGATAGTTAAAGATAGGAAGGCCTACCGATACTGTTTCATCGGTTGTGACAAGTGTACCACATGGATGTTAAATGCTAACAATCAGAGAAACCGTGTACAGGAATCAGGGAGCATACGGGAGCTCTGTGCTTGCTGCCTAATTTTCTGTAAACATAAAACTGCTCTGAAAAATAAAGTTTATTAAAAGCAAACAAACAAACAACAAACCCCAGTGCTCTATACAGCCGTAGTGAATAAACAACCAATGAGTTTATATGGTGTAGCTATTACCTCTCTGCAGCTCTCAAACTAGACTTTGCCAGTTTGGAATATAATGTCTTTTTCACTGGCAGATTTCCTCATTGTGTTTTTGCAAATTTAGCAAAAACCTTTGTGTAAACACCTGTTTTCGTTTTCAGAAATTCAAATGCACCTAAGAGCATGTTTATTCCGGGACCAATCCTGCCTCCATACAGTGAGAGCCCCTGCTCTGAGCAGGACTCACGTAACTCACCCACTTGTGGAGAAGTGGGGAGCGAGGGTACTCACTTGAGTATGTAGATATAGAAAACAGATGTTAGCTCTTTGGTGAGGTGGGTGTGTTTGCAGCCTTGCTGCAAACCACATTTGGTTTTAGCCTTCTTGGCTTCTCCATTCTCTCCATGCTGCCATCATGACAAACTGTATCTTGCTGGCTCTGTTTTTTTGAACCTTGCTTAGACAATATGGAGAATGGGGAAGAAAGACAACTCAGGAAAACATTTGCTGTTGTTGTTAAGTGCCGTCAATTTGGTACTGACTCACAGTGATCCTAGGCACAACAGAGCGAAACACCACTTGGTCCTGTGCCAATTTCACAATTGTTGCTATGCTTGAGCCCTTTGCTACTGCCACTGTGCCAATCCATCTTGTTGGAAGTCTTCCTCTTTTTTGATGACCCTTCACTTTACCACTTTGTTGATGTTGTTAAGTGCCATTGAGTTGGTCCCAACTCATAGTGACCCTGTAGAGGATTTCTGAGGAGTAACTGGTGAATTTGAAAATCCAACCTTATGGTTCAAACTGACTTATTATGGTACAGTGCTTATCCTAGTCGGGAAGAAAAACAACAACAACAAAAACAGACCAACTGCCATGGAGTCCAATTTTATTCACAGCAAACCTACAGGACATGGTAGAAGTGCCCCCATAGGATGTTCAAGGCTGTAAATCTTTATGAACACAAATTGCATCATCTTTTCTCCCATAGAACAGCTAGTAGGTTCAAACCTCTGATCTTTAACAGCTAA